TTCAATAATAATAATTAAACTCTAAATTAATCATAGACTACAAATTAGAAGTAAAACAATTAGAAAAGCATCATCTAACTAATTGGCAGTATGAAAGAGAAATATAATGAGAATAAATTACTAGAAAATGAAATGATTATTGATAGCAGACCTAGAGTAGACTACAACTAAATGAAGTAAATAATTAAATAATTTCATATATTCATAGAATGATACTTAAGGATGCATTGATAGATATGCTTTCAGACAGCTAGCCACCTTCGGTCCAATGGATTAAAACAGACATTTCAAATATCGAAAAATCTTTAGATATCTTTAATATTGAAACTGTTTAAGGCAAGTATTACTAGCCTGATTCAAGATTAATACACTTGATAACTGGAAAGACTGGACACTAGATTAAAGAAGATCTCAAGTGAATATAAAGAGATTAATTCTTGCAGTTTAAATAGAAATCGTTAAGGCTAGAGGTAAGTAAGGAAAATAAGGATTACTATAAAACGATCACAGCTGGTTTTCTAGGACCATTTAATAAATGGAGGACAAATAATTAAAATTTAATTGAAACTCAAAAGGGATAAGCTCATATAAATAAGATTGATGAAATTAGGGAAATAAAAAAGTTAAAAACTATTAACAGATAAGATGAAGTTCATGGTATTAACAGATAAATACTGATATCAACAGACCTAGATTAAAATATTTCTTATCAGTATAAATAATAAGCAAATAAGTATAGGTGAAATTTAATCAACAAACAAATGAGGAAAGAACTCTTCAATAAAACAGCTTTAGAGAATAACTCATAGGATCCTTTGTCTCAGTCTAATTCCAGACAGCTAAAGATTATAAATACTAATAACAGAAGGAAAAAAATCTCTAAACCTTCTAAACCTGGTGTCAAACGGAGAGGATTACGAAAAGATCTTAGTCTTATTCTTGACGAAGAAGAAGGTAATACTTAAAATAAAAATACTCGATGCAAGAATAAAGGAAGTCCTGAGATTAATAGTCCATCAATAAATGAAGAAGATGAAGATGAACTAGATAGCAGTAATTCTGGTGAGAGGGGAGAAGATTACTAGTTTACAGATGATAATCACATGCTAGACTAGCAGTGAAAAGAAGTTTATCAATCAAATATCAACCAACTTTCATTGTAAATAACTAACGTCCCACTAAATTGAGATACAGAATTAAGCTCCTTAATTAATCATAATTTCTTAATATTCATGATGGTATCAATTACTTCTTCCCGGGGTTTTGGGGTTTTGGGG